ATAGCCAAATTACACTGATGTAATTTGTATTCCAAATGTAATACAAGACAATCTTCAGTGGGGATACTGAAAATATGAAGATAACTTTCCTACTCACTATCCAGACATGATTCTTCTTTTTTTTTATTTTTTTAAAATACATTGTCACCTTGTGAATGAAAATGGCTATATAATAAAAATTCATTTTTATTAATTAATTAATAGCTAACATTTATTGAACAATTTGCAGAAGACAGCCACTCTGTTTTATCTTCAAATTCATTAATTCTCACAACTACCTTATGAGGTAGTTGCAACAATTTTCATCTGTGTTCAAAAGATGAAACTCAGAATAGATTTAAGTGACTTTCCCAACAGTACTCAGTAGTAAGAAGTAAAGTTGGGATTCTGATTTCAAATCTGGAGCTCTGAAACACTATATCTAATACCATGTTACAAATGTCTTTCTTCCCTGTTAAAACTGCTATGGAACAGTGTTGGAAATGATCATCTGGAATTTTATGTAGTATTCAATTTTGTTTAATGGGTATAAAATAGGGAACAAGTGGTAACAGATAACTCCCAATCAAGGTTGTAACACAACCAAGCATATGGCTGGTTGGGACTGAAGGAAATAGGCGCTGGGTCTCCCATTGGTTTGAAACTGTGTACAGGTGTTGTTTGCATTAACACAAGATATCAGCACTCAGAAATGAGAAATCTTATTACCCAGTTCCAAATGTACCCTATCCAAGGTTATTGTTATTGAGAGGAGATTGTTTGTGCATATGATAATTGTCCTAAAACTGTAAGAACCCTGAGATAGGAACTATGAAATAACTATTTTTATATCCCTATCACCATCGTCATCACTACCTATTAGTACCAGGACTTGAGTGTAATGGTGATTTAATAAGATCTGCTGAATTGGACATAGAATTTATAGAATTTGCTTCTCAATTTGTTGCCAGGCTGCTTTATACCTTAATTTAATTTTTATTTTTTTAAAGATTTATTTATGCATACAAGAACTGGGGTACAGGCCAGTGGTGTGGGGGTGGTGAGAGGATTCACCAGAGACAGAGTAGGGAGCAGAACAGGCAGATTGACTGAAATACACTGCTGAGGGGAGCAACGGGCAAGTCAGGAGAGGTCTGCTGCGCCATATGGGTATCTCCCTGGCCAGGGATCAAACTCATGCTGCGGTGGCAGCAGATAGCTTCATAGATTGCATCTTAACTCCTTGCTCCATCAAGGAGGCCCTACACCTTAATTTTAAATACCCCTAAAGCAAAAGAAAAGGGGTTTCAACTTGAGGGGACCACATTTAGATCAAGTATGTTTTTTAAGTGCTGCTTTTATTGTTTCTTTTAATTTGGAGAAACTATTTTGGAGAAACTAGGTATTTTCTGCAGGCAACTCCTTTTTTCCTTAATCATAACTTGGCAAACTGGGATAAAAAAACTAGGATTTTAGAGCCAATGCTAATTATAAATGCCACACACAATGACAGAGTCTTAATTATTTAATATCATTGCTAAACTGTGTAGAGTATGAAAATTGCTCAGGATTTTGCGCCGTTGGCCTCTGTGGCTGTTATCTGCAGCCTGGAATGCAAGAGGCACCTGGAGCTTGGGCTCAGGGTACACCTGATGGTGGAAACCTGGAGTATGGTGTGGGCATGTGTAAGTGGGCAGCATGAGCCTGGAGGCTGAGCATATAACAGCAGCAGCTGACGGCACAGTGGAGAGCAGTGGAAAGCTGCAGAGAGCAGCTACCAGAGGAAAGGGTGTATAGAAATTTTTAGGGCGGGCCACTTGTTTGTCTCCCTGCTGGCTTGTTTCACCTGAATACTATTAGATAACCCGTGGGGCTCCAAGTTTCTCTTTCAAGCTGCCTGAACTGTTGATGAGCCTTCTCAGCCTGGGATGCTTGTAAATATTGTAAATATAAAACACAATTATATTTACAATATCAGAAACACATGTCAGGTGCTAAAAGTGTACAATTTCATGACCAGAAAGACATTGTCTATTTGTAGGAGGATAGAGGTGGTTTAATCTCGCCCCTTTTTTCCTCTGTGGTCCTCAAATCAGAAACTATATGAATATGAGTTTACCAATGTGTTTGGGAAATAAGTATAAAAAAATCAGGTCACTTAATAAATTGTTTTATTAGTCTGCAAAATTATCCCAAGTTGCCCACATTTATTGGTCATTCAGGAAATCTGATCTTTATTTTTCCCTAAATATTAGGATCACCAGAGTAGAGTCCAAAGAAAAGAAAAAATAACCCTTAAGCAAAGAGCAAGGAATCCTAATACTCTCATGGGAAATTTGACAGTAGGTGGTGAGTATCTAGAGCATTTTGTGGCCAACAGATGACATCTGCCCTGCACCACTTGATCTCTGATTGGCAAGACTGGGTTTGAGGGAATGCCTGCAGTCAAAAGACTTAGGATTTGTTCACGAAGACATACTGTGACACAATTTAACACTGCAGCACAATAAGAGATTGTATGAACTTTAAAAGTCACTATAATTTTTCCTATAAACATTTGCTTGGGGGTAATGCATAATGAAACTAGCAATATCTTTGTTTTTATGTTTTGAATTTTTCTATTCTTCTAGGAAGTATAGATTCTGCCTGTTTGTTTTGTTTCTTGCTTATCTTTGTTTGTACCAGGAAAATTGTGATTTAAATAGGGCAGGGTGGAGAGAGGAGAAACATTGACTATAAATTTATAATTGTTGACATACACTTCTAGAGAAAAATCTTTATGCTTGAATTGCCTCATGAAATAAAATTTAAAAATACAATGAAGTAAAATAAAACCAAATGAATGGAGAGAAAAAATTGCTACTTTTTAGGTGGAAGTGGAAATGGAAATAGGTAAAGTCACTAAATTCTAGGTCCACAGTCTGCCTTCCATTGTGAAGTAGCCCAAAAAATAAGCTGTGCCCAACAGACTGAACAGGGTAATGCCACTCAGGCAGATTGACTAATGCAGCATCCAGCCTATTCACTCAACAGGAAGAAATCATTTAAAAACCTTGATTTTTTAAAAAAAGATTTATTTATGCATACAAGAACTGGGGTACAGGCCAGAGGTGCAGGGGGGAGGGCGAAAGGACTCACCAGAGACAGAATGGACCGAAAACACACTGCTGAAGGGAGCAGTGGGCAAGCCAGGAGAGGTCTGCTGCACCATGTGGGTAGCTCCCTGGCCAGGGCTTGAACTCATGCTGCAGCGGCTGCAGTTAACTTCATAGGTTGCATCTTAACCCCTTGCACCACCAGGGAGGCCCCTAAAAACCTTAATTTTAAGGCATCAGCAACACCTTTATTCTCTAGAACGCTAATTTAGATACATTACCTTCTACATCCCCAAATATGGTCAATGTTAATTTTCACAGTCTAGGATTTGTGAAAGGTTAAAAAAAATAGTTATACCAGCAACATCAGATTTTTCATATTTGTCTTTCTAAATGCACTATGACATGCAACAATTTTATTCATATCCCCATGGAAATCAAATACTGCCATCTCTCCCAAAGACCAATTTTATTTTCCTTTACATAAAACTATAGTTGTCAAATGCCTTTCAGAAAAACAAAATAAGAAGGATTGACATAGTAAATGTAAATGTCATAGTTCTAAAATTTTATACAAATGCTCATTCATCTAAATAATTTTTCCCCTGCCTATCTTTTGTACCTTTATATTTACCCTTTTAAATCACTCCCCTTTACACAATCTTTTAGGGTTCTCAAATCCAGTGGATTTATGACTTGTTATGGTCTTAACCTCAGCACATTTTTTCCTCCTTTTTTGTTCCTTTCTTTTCTCACCCAGTTTACTAGTTCAAATTACTAACATATGTTAAGGGAGAGTTTAGATCTACGTAGTTATAAATGACAGCGTAAGTTTGATGAATTCAAATAAATCCGCAAACTCTACCCTCTACCAAATGACATAAAAAAATAAAAAGCTCTCCCTTTCTTAAACATAGAAAAAATGTACATTTTTATAGAAAGTTGAGTTAGAGATATTCTACCACCCCTTTTTACCTGTGTGATCTTTTCAGACTTAAACTCTTTGTGTCTCATCTTTATCTGTTTTTAATTTTTGTTTAAAAAAAAAACCCCACAGCTATTTGCTGTAGGTAAATCCATCTTTCTCACCTGATGTGCACAAAAGAATAAGGTATACTTACATGAGACAAATACCAAAACTAACAAAAGGATTTGGGAATCAATATAAATTCTGCATCTCAAATTTAATTTTAAAAGTGCTAGTAAAAAAGAAATGGTGAATCCCTTAAATATTAATGGCAATTTATAGTAAGGTTCCCTTGGGGTAAAATGAAGATGAGATTCTCAAGAAAATCTCCCAACTACCACACTTTGTGGCTTCAGAGATGGAAACAGGGAGCTAGGATTGGTAAATTATCAACCAACACACGGGGAAGGAAAAAAGCACAGAAAAAGAAAAGACATTGGTGGCAGAACAGCAAAACACACACACCCTCCAGTTACCCAACCATGTGCCATTCTTCGAGGACCAAAGTTTTGGCATTGCTCCAGGCACACTGTTCCTTTAAAGGGCCAGGAGCCTTCTCTGTTTTCAGGAGTCTGACAGAACCGTTCGCCCCCACAGGACTGCTAAGCCTCCCTCTGCATCTCTCTCAAGTCTTTGCTGAAATGTCACTTTCTGAGATCGGCCTACTCTGAACACCCGTTTAAAAGCTGTCACCCTGCCGTGGTCTTTCCCCACTCGATATTACCGCGTTTGAAAAGTCCAAGCGAGCCTCCAACCTGCTCTCAATTTCCATCCCCCTACCTGTGGCTTCCCCTTTAAATTTCCTTGGGAAGAGGCGGGGTTAGGGCGGAGCCTCCCAGAAAGGAGGAGCGTGTCGGATAGGTTCCGCCCACTTGCGTGGCTGGCGGCGGCCACCCGGCAGCGCGAGACGTTCTTCTCCCAGTAGGCTCTGGAAGCGCGACGGAATGACCACGTGGTGGTGACGTCAGCTCGCCCGCGCCGGCCGGCCTGTCGCCTTGGGCTTCCTGGGGATCCCGGTGGCGGCTTGGTTGCTTTGCGCCGCGGTGTTGCGGCGTTAGGGTTCTTCCTCTCCGAACTCCCGGCGCCTGATCTCGGGCTTCACGATGTACCACAACAGTAGCCAGAAGCGGCACTGGACTTTCTCCAGTGAGGAGCAGCTGGCACGAATGCGAGCCGACGCCAACCACAAATTCAAATGCAAAGCGGTAGCGAACGGGAAGGTGAGGACTATGGTTCCTGCCCCCACCTGCCCGGGCCTCTCCACTCTTAAGCAGCTGCGGGGCTCCTCCCCTCCCCGGGCCTCCAGCTCACCTGCCTCTGTATCATCGCGGAGCGGAGGCGTTTATCTGTGTAATAAATTGGCAAGCGTCTTCCTAGGTGCCGTGGGTACCCGGTCAGACGCCAGCCCCGTATTTGAATGGCAGGCAGACCAGTAACCAGGAACAGCGAAGAGACTTTGCGGAGTGCTAAAGTAACACGGGCCGGAGCCATTCACTTGCCCAGCGGGGATTTCGGGACGGCTTTTCCGATAGCTGTTGTGAGGAAAGAGGGGAAGGGGCATTACAGGCGGACAGTGCCACCGATGCAAAGTGGGAGGTCAGAAGTTGCAGGGAGGGTCTGTGCAAAGACGGGTTGGTAGGCAGAGAATTTGTAAGCCTAAGTGAGGAGTATTACCCTTTCTGGAAGGATTTTAAATGGAAAATTAACCCGGTCGGATTCTGTTCTGGAAGGCGCGTTCTGGCAAACTGGTGGTGAATGGATTGATAAGGCAGGGACACGGGAAACCTGTAGTAAAAACCAGTTGAAAAATGGTTTGGGTTGTGGTCTGCCTGCCAGGTCCTTCCAGCTGTGGGTCAGCTCCCCCTTTCCATTCATCTTTTCTCACCAGCTACACCACCTATTCTGCAGCAGGTCCTCCGGGTCTTAGACCTATGGGTACTGAGGTACTTTTTATCTTTCACTCACTCACGTCTGTTTCATACCACTTGTGGTGCTTCTCAAAGTGTATGTTGTGTTGTGTGCAGGCACTATTCCAAACGTTTAGCAAGTGTTAGCTCATGGACTTCTCACAGCTATCCTCCTTGAGGTTGGTATAGTTATTATTCTTGCTTTAGTAAACCAAGGTGTAGAGAGATTGAATAACTAAGAATACATTGTTTAGAGCTAGGATTTGAAACCAAGGAATTTAGACCCAGCCTTCCTGCTCTAACCACAGGGTCCTACTGTCTCTATAAAATAAGCACCTCTATTAGTTTCATAAGCTGCCATGAAAGGTTACTACCAACTGGGTGGCTTAAAACATAACTGTATTGCTCATAGTTTTGGAGGTTAGAATTCTGAGGTAAGGTTTAGACTAGCAGCGCTCTCTGCTGCTTCAGGGGAGGATACTTCCTTTCCTCCTCCAGCTTCTGGTAATCGCAGGTGTTCCTTTCTTGTGGCAATCTAACTCCAATCTCTGCCTTCTTACACAGTGCTCTCCCTGTGTTTCTGTATATGCACGTATTCTTATGGGGATACGAGTTATATTGGGTTAGGAGCCCACTCCACTGTGACCTCATCTTAACTAATTACATCTTTAGAGATCCCTTTTCCAGAGAAGGTTGCGTTCTGAGCTACTGGCAATTAGGACTTGGTAGTCATAGTTAAACATAGTAAACCTGTAACAGCACCTGATGAGTGTTTACTGTAAACTTGTAGTACTTATTAACTATTTAGTGCATGTTGTAGGTTTTAAAAAATGGGTAAAAAGTTAAGGTTTTAAGGGTAAGATTTATCCTTGAGGCACTTGTTGATTTGTACGGTCTCAATTTAATGACCCACTGAGAAAGTGCTATTGAAGACTTTCCAACCATTGACAGTGTATCATCTTTTTTATTTCTAAGTGGCATGAAAACTGAACATATGCTCACAGTCCATCATGACTGCTTATAACTTAAGCAAATATCCAGCTGACATTCTGAGAAATTATAAATGACAGTATAGTTTTAGTTCATTAAATATTTTTCTCAAGTTATTTTGGATACTAATTCTATAAAATTCTATAAAATATAAAACTAAAAAGAAAATGAGATGTGTCAGATTTCCCTATAATTTTAATCTGGACAAAGAAAAATATTTTAAGATTATTTAAATCAGTAAATACTATAATTTTTTATCTCAAGGTTCTTTCAAATGATCCAGTATTCCTTGAACCTCATGAAGAAATGACACTTTGCAAATACTATGAGAAAAGATTATTGGAATTCTGTTCAGTGTTTAAGCCAGCAATGCCAAGGTCTGTTGTGGTAAGTCTTGCTTGTGATGAAACATAATGTCTTTTAGCTACCTTCTGAAACTGGACAGCTTTTAATTTCATAACTTAATTATCTACTTTACTCAAAAACGTATCTTTATATACATATATGTATGTATGAATAGATAGATATATCAATAGATAGATTTTGTTGATGACATTTTTGTTTATTTTCTTACATCATTGTTTTTGTACATTTGATTTTTTCTCCTCAGGTAAGTAGTCCCCATAAATCTCCCACCACCACGTTACCCATGAACCATCGCCATAGTCCCTGGTGCTCTTCCCTTCTGTTATAACCTCTTTCCTTTCCCCTCACCCTGGTGTATGTGTCAGATCTACAGTTTGTCTGCAAGTTTTGTCCATTTTTTTTTTTTTTGACCTTTGGTTCAGTTTTCCTATATTCCTCCTACAAGTGACACTGTCCAATGTTTTTCTTTTTCACTCTGACTTACTTGCTTGGTGTATTCCCTCCTAGCTCCATCCATGTTGCCACAAGTGGCAAGAGTTAATCATTTATGACTGCTAAGTAATATTCCATTATGTATATATACCACTTATTCTTGATACATGCATGTGTTTTGCAGCATTTAGGTTGTTTCCATATCTTAACTATTGTAAATAGTACTGCAGTAAACATAGGAGTGCAGGTTTCCCTTTGGATTAGTGTTTTTGTATCCTTTGGGTATATTCCCAGGAGTGAAATTGCTGGATCATATGGGAGATCCATTCTTAGTGTTCTGAGAATCCTCTACACAGCTTTCTGTAGTGATTGGACCACTTTGCAATCCCATCAGCAGTTTAAGAGGGTGACTTTTTCTCCACATCCTTGCCAGCGTTTGTTGTTGGACCATTCTCACCAGTGTGAGGTGGTATCTCTTTTACTTTTGATTTGCATTCCCCTGATTATAGGTCATGTTGAACATTTTTTCATATACCCATTGGCCATTCGCATTTCATTTTTTTTTTTTAAAGATTTATTTATTTATACACGCACTGGGTACAGTCAGAAGCGCAGGAGAGTGAGAGAATTCACCAGAGCGGGGAACAGAACAGGCAGAGGACCAAAGTACACTGCTGAGGGGAGCAGCGGGTGGCAGGCGAGGTCTGCGCGCCATGTGGGACCCTCGCCGGTGGCAGGAGAGGTCTGCGCACCATGTGGGACCCTCGCCGGTGGCCGGGGATAGAACCGGCACTGCAGAGGCTGTGGGCAGCTTCGCCGCTCAGCGCGCAACGGCTGCGCCACCAGGGGAGGCCCTGCATTTCATCTTTTGAAAAGTGTCTTTTTTAGCTTTTCTGCTCATTTTTTGACTGGGTTGTGTGTTTTGTTGAGTTATATAAGCTCTTTGTAGAGCTTATATATATGCCTCAAATTATGAATTCTTATATTACACTTAAAAAGTGTTTTTACTCTCATTTCATTCTTGACATTTTGGTTCATTTAGATATGTTAGGGCATTCTCATTTCCTAGAGAAATAGATAAAATTATTTCCCTTTAGGCAGGTCCTCATCAAATGAATGATAGAACTGGGACCAAAACAGTGCTTTTTCAACTCTGTCACACACATTTGAAATAATGCATTCATTCATTTGTAATCATGCCCCAGCTAAAACTTGTGACATAGATATTTTTAAACTTTAAAAAGAAACTGAAGATTTATCCTTGGTTAAATAATACCTTATTGTTTTGTCTTATTATATTATCTTATGTTGTTTCAGATATATGGTTCTGGGGGTACCATTTATGTGGTTGTGTTTATTGTGGTGGGAGTGGGGTAATGGTGAGAAGTAGGTGATTAGAACATTTTGGCTATAGGAATTTGTAAATATTGCCCTTGTAATTGTACCTCTTGTGTGTGTTCTTGTTTATATAAGCTGAAAGACAAAAATGGGAAAGGAGTAAGAAATAGTTTTTGGTTATCTCAGGTTCTTCCTGAAGATCAGATATGAAAGTTTATCTTAAGTCAAAGTCTATTTTAGTTTTAAAATTCTACAGAGTAAATTTTACTTAAGACTCAATAGATAATAGTCCCATAGGATATAATCTTCATATAATTGGAAACATTGAAATAAAATATTAAGTCCAAAAGTATTCAAGCTGTTTTCCTCGTTTACCAGACCTTCATGTGAGAGATCAAAAATTCATGAAATGTTGTAGATATACTTGATTAGTTTCTATTTCCAGATTTGGGTCTGTTCCTTATTTTTAAATTTTATTTTTGGTTCTGGTGTTTTCTGATAAAAGAATTGTATCATGAGGTATATGTCTAAGTGATCTTTTTACTTAAGAAACTCAATCCATGAGGAAGAGATGTTTTTGTTTCACATAAAATGATAAAAGTTCGGAAGTATTGAAAAGGACGTTTTCTTTTTAAAAAAAAAATAATATAAATGGTTATTTCATTGGTTCCAGCAAAAGACATAGTAGTTGCAGTATTTTGTATCAACTAAAATAAGAATGATAGCTTTGTGCATGGCACACTCTCTCAATAAATGGCAGGTACTGTTTGTTTCATTTGGCAGCAGTGATCATGTTTATATCACAGAGCTGGAGTGGATTTAGAGGAGAAGGCTTATTAGCCCAATCATGTTCTTTTGTCAGTATTTTTACAAAATTGATTCATTAAGCTATAAATATCTGTGTTTTCTCCTTGAATTTTTCTTATTTGGACCACTTTTGTTACTCTGAATTCTAAAACACACATATACTTTTTTAAGCCATTGACCATAGGGAGCATAACCCAGTCCAATAAAGGGTCTTTTGTGGCTTTTTTGTAGTAATCATCACAATTTATTTGATTAAAGAATTAATAGGTTTTGGCATTTTTATTTTTTTTTAAATTTTATTTGTGTGTGGAAGAACTAGGGTATAGGCCAGAGGTGCAGCAGGTGAGAGGATTCACCAGAGAGTGGGGGGCAGAAAAAGCATATCTTCTGAAATACACTGCTGAGGGGAACAGCAGGTGAGACAGGAGAGGTCTGCACCATGTGGGTTAGCTCCCTGACTGGGGATCTAACTCAGGCCATCTCATTGGCCCACCATCACTGTGATAGCGCTGTGGCTTACCCCCTGGGCCACCAGGGAGACCCCAGGTTTTGGCATTTTTATATGGGCAATTTGGATAAATAACTTTTTAAAACAAAATTTAACATGTATGTACAAATAGATTCTGATGGTATATGTTTTTTTCTCTTAGGGCACAGCCTGTATGTATTTCAAGCGTTTTTATCTTAATAACTCAGTAATGGAATATCATCCTCGGATAATAATGTGAGTATAAATCTATCTTATTAATTTTAGAAAGACTTTTACATTATTTAGATGAGTATGTGTGTGAAGAAATGACTTCCTAATAAATGGTAATTTAGCTTGCAGTCTTTTCTGAATTTTAAGATCCCTCATTGTACTTACTCCTTATATACCTAGAATAAAATTTCCCTCTCCTACTGATGATATCTGAACTTCAGCTTGTTCAAATTCAAATTGTTTTTTCCAAACTACCTTCCCTAAAATCCCTTTCAGTTAGTGACACCTTTCTTTCCCCGTTGCTCTAAGAATTATTCATAGTAATTCCTCTCCCTCTCGACATTTTACAGGTTATGGTGCTCCAACCTTTCAGTTGAACAAGGTCTTTTACATTATTTACAAAATTGATTCATTAAGCTGTTGCGTTTCTGCTCCTGCTAAGTACTAGGCTTATTAGAGACACAGATGAAATTAGTATGAGGTTCATCAAAGAGCTTGCTATCAATCACGTGATTCCTGTTTCTCTTTCTCATTCCCACCAGTTTAGGGCAGGCTTTTATTACTTCCAATATTGCAATCTTGGCATTTGTGGTAACTTTATTACTAGTTTGTCACTGCGAAATTTATGTAGTAAACAGAACATAGATTTGTTTCTGTTGTAATGCTCCCCTCTTCAAACACTACTTCCACTGAGAGCCTTACATAGGGTTCCTTTAATCTATTCCCATGCACATGTGGTACTTGTGTGTGTACTACTGTTTTTCATTTTTCTGCCATTTACATTTCATGATACAAAGTACTCTTCTTCCTCTGTTATTTTGTTTTTCTAGATAGTCAGGTTAAACTATATAAAATTGCCATTAAATCAGTAATTGTTGTATGCTGTCTCAATATTGTTCAAACTAATTTTATGGTCTAACAGATACAAAGTTTGAAGAGCAACTTTTCTTTATTAAAATTTCCTAGAGTGTCTATCATAGTCATGAATATTAGGCAATTTTAAAATGCACTTTTAGAAAAAATGCAGAGATATTTGTAGGGTAAACAAGTGTCAGTCTTTTCTGCCCTCCCGCCATTAGGATTGATGATGGATCCCTGTGGTCCTGATGGCGGGCACCTTGAGTAAGGTATGGGCATACGTAAGTGGATACACCTAGACTGAGACGGGGCCTATATATAAGGGCAGCGTCACGGGGACTCCAGAGGAGAACACCACCAGTAGGAGAACTAGTGAGAGAACGAGAACACAAAAGAATGCCAGAGAGCCCAGGAAGAGTGAAGAATGGTGAGGGGCTAGGAGGCCTGCCAGCCTCCTGGCCCCCAGCACCCCTGCCTGCTGCGTACCTGGTAAACTCAATAAAAGCCTAAAAAGCCACCGAGGTCTCCAGGACTCTCCTTTACCCGTCTGTATAGGGTCATAGAGATCCTGCTCCATGCTCTACCTGCCACTACAATATTTCTTAAGGTAAATGCTTATTCCACCCCACCCCACTCCAGTCTACCCTTTCTTTTTCCTCTAGGCTCACGTGTGCATTTTTGGCATGCAAAGTAGATGAATTCAATGTATCTAGTCCACAATTTGTTGGAAATCTACGGGAGAGTCCTCATGGACAGGAGAAGGCTCTGGAACAGATTTTGGAATATGAACTACTTCTTATACAGCAACTTAATTTTCATCTTATTGTACACAACCCATATAGACCATTTGAGGGCTTTCTCATTGATATAAAGGTAATCTTGTTGATAAAAAATTAACTAGTAGAATGTACTCCTTTGCTACTGTTCTTTAACCAAAAGAATCCAAAGTTTTTATTATATCTTGGTATTATCCTAAATGATACATAGTGGGCTCAACTATAAGTGAGTTTGCCCTGGATCTCTCAAAGTTCTCTCTGTATCAAAATCACTTGGAGGGCTTACTTGTTAATTCAGACTGTTGGGCTGCAGTTCCAGAGCTTCTGATTTAGTAGCTGTGCAAATACTGGCCTGGGAACCATAACGAAAATCATTGTGAGTTTAGACTAATATTTATACAAACTTAAGAAAACTCTTCTAATTCTGAATTATACTGTTATGGATCTAATTTTAAGAGCCAAAAAAAAAAAAAAAAACCTTCATTTTAAACTAGGTAGTTAATGAATTCTATATTTAGTGCATTGTAAACTTGAATCAATATGTAGGCATCAAATATATAAATGAATACATATTGACAAAAGCAACATAGTTTTGTTTTGGCTCTGAAAAAGGACTTGCATACCTCGAGTAAAGTCAAATAGAAGTCAAAAGCTAAGTTCATTCAGCACAGCCGAATTGAAATTCTGGTACCTTCTGTATGTAAAGGATATAACCAGGAACAAGACCTCAGCTTTCATAGGCTTTGGGAAAGATAGTCATTATATATTCAGTGTGCTAAATAATACAGAGGGAAAATACAGGCTGTTTTAGAAGGATATGGTTTAAATGGCAGGGGAGATAGTTCTGAGAAAGTGTCATTTAAAGCAAAATTCAGTGCAGGAGTAGGAATTAGGTGGAAAAGTATCCTAGTCAGGGAGGTTTCTCTTGTGAAAGACCTAGATTCAAGAAACCGTTGGTGCACTAAAGAATCTAAACACAGCTTAGAGATAGAGGGTGCACACTGCCACAAAGTGCTGCCTGAGTAGAAGCCAGAGTCTAGACTATAAAAGTGATATTCAATATTTTGAATATAGCAATGGGAAGCCAGTGAAAGGTTGGTCTGGGGGGTGACATAATTAGTTTTGTAGCTTAAGATCTTGTTGGCAAGTTCTCGTGCATCAGTCTGCATCAGATATTGGACAGTGGTGTGTGCCAGGCATAAGGTAGAGAATAGATTAGATGGATACAGAAATACTAGTTAAAATGCAGGGGTCCCACTGACTGCTGGTGTGAGCAATAGATAGATGAAGGGTGCTGTAGGTAGAGGAAGCCCTGGCACAAGAGAAATTTGTTGATGGTGAAGGGGTAGTGGGTTGATGAATTTGATTTGGAACATATGAATTTCCTACAAGACATCCGGGTGGATGGGTAGTTTTATGCCTGGAAGACAGAGAAGAGAGCTAGACTGCAGGTATAGACTTGGATATCATTGTCCCATGAAAATTTAAAGTGGAATTCAACCACTGTTGAAATTTTGCCAGAAATGTGTTGGCAGTATAGCCATCAGGGAATTCAGGAAGGAAAGGTGGACTAGAAGAATTGGGTGGGTAGCAGCCAGTGGAGGGATAAGGGACCAAAGATTCTGAGGAGGAAGTCAAAGAACAACTCTGAAGTAATTGAACAAGTTTATTTGGAAAAGGAATACTGTAGTCAGAATGGAATGCTTGAATTTGTCATATCAGAGATCAGACAATTTGGGATAATGGAAGACCTTGGTGTACTGTAAAATTGACTGCATATTTTGTTTCATCATTAAAGGAAAGATGACTTACTATTTTGAGACTTGAATGTGGATCTCTGAAATTTTGAGAACAGAGGCTTTAGGGTTCATATCAAAGGATAAGAAATTGTCAGGAAATGTGGAATCTTACATACTTCTAGCCTAAAAAGTCTGGGCATAGCCTAAAAATTATTTCATAATCAAACCCAGATTTGTTCTATTTACTTCATCCCAAAAGTAAACTTTATGTAGGAGTTTCAAATCAAAATGTGTTTCCTAAATGTGGCCTGAGATCTGAATCACCTGGAAGCATTTACCTGGGAATAAAGTATTTTTTTGGTGTACTTTATACACAATCAGATCTCTAAGAGCCTCTCTTCCTCCTCAGCTGAAAAGAGATCAAGAGGAATTAATATTAGAACAGTGTCAAGTACTGTGCTGAGTACCTCAAATATATATCTATATATATCTATATCTTTATATATATATAGATATATATATCTTTAAATATATATATATCTTTATATATATATCTTTAAATATATATAATTTAAAGATTTATTTATACAAGAATTGGGGTATAGGTCAGAGATACAGGAGGGTGAGAGAATTCATGAGAGACAGAGTGGGGAGCAGAACAGGCAGATGGACCAAAGACACTGCTAAGGGGAGCAGTGGGCAAGGCAGGAGAGGTCTGCCGTGCCATAGGGGTTTCTCTGTGGCGGGCCGCAAATCCAACCCATGCTGCAGAGGCTGCGCACAGCTTCACAGTGTGGCGCTCAACCTGCTGTGCAGCCAGGGAGGCCCTTTCAAAGAATATTAAAGCATGTATTTCTTATTATGGAATGTATTTTAAAAGTTTGAAAGCCCCTGAACAAACAACAGATTCCTAAAACATGCATAATTTAGTGACTGCATATTTGGTACTTTCTTAATGCTGAGTACAAAATGATCTTGCATGGACAGATTATTTGTTGTTGATGGGGTGTAGAAAAGAAGTTATTGTTTAAGAAAAGCATCCTGTATTAACCACATTGTGGTTAATGTAAATTTTTTTAACTGTTACTACTACATTAAACACTCAGAAGTGATAGATAACATTTTGCAAACTTTCTTTTTAGACTCGCTGTCCCATGTTGGAGAATCCAGAGATTTTGAGGAAAACGGCTGATGATTTTCTCAATAGAGTTTCATTGACAGATGCTTACCTTCTATACACACCTTCTCAAATTGCCCTGACTGCCATTTTATCTAGTGCATCCAGAGCAGGAATTAGTATGGAAAGGTATGAATTTCTGTTTTAACTTGAATCAGATGCCATTATTCAAGTATTCCGTCCTGTAAGTCTGAGTTTTTAAGATTCACTTTTAAGATTATGACTACAATCCTTTATTTCTCTGGTAGTTGGGAGGGCTGGTAAGGGCAGCTAAGGAAAGAATTAAGGCAAATTCTATAGAATATTCTAAAAATTAAAGAAGATAATTTGATTTAGGCAGGATCCATTTATGACTGAAGCAAAAGTAAATCACTAAGTATCCTCAAAAGGCTGACATAGCTATCAGCATATGGCAAATTTAAGTTTTATGAACCGGTTAGCAATGTAAGTGTAGCAAATATGTCTGCTTTGTTTTGTCCGTGGAGGTGTAATTCAGTAAGTTACATGGAATTCAGTAAAGATTTATTGACTGAATTCTTGTGGGAATATCCAAATGAATTGCAATTGAGCTGTAAGTAGTAATAGTTAATATATAAATGTACATTGAGAGCCAGACTCTGATAAGCATCCTATGTGAGGTAAATTCACTGATTCTTAAAATAATATATGCACATAAATTAAATACCTGTATTATAATGTTAATTTATCACTAACTCAGGCTTAGGCTAGCAGCAAATTAGATTTTTAAAATTTTTACATTTAATTTCTGTATGATCTTTGAGGTTCAACTTGATTTCATTTCTAGAAATAGCTGAAGAAGAAACATTACAAAACTTTTTAAACCTCAATTGTTGTACTTGTTTGTAATCCCTCACCCATAATTTTAAAGTCCATTTATAAAGTGGCAGCAAACAATTACAGGTGACTTAGTCAATACTCAGCTTAATAAGAATATTTGTTCCCTTGCAGAAATATGAATTCTACTAATTACAGGATACTAACCCAACATCTTTGGAATATTTCACATTGCATGGTATACACATCAGGCAGCCTAAGACATGAATGAGTGTCCATTTTAGGGCAAACTTAAGATAAGGGATGGTGAGCTTGTCTTCTATGTTATGGTTCTTCATTATCACAGCTTACAAACTATATATTTATTTATTTATTTTTAAAGGGCTAGTTCTTTTATTTTTTTCTTTTGTATTTTTTAAAAGATGATTTATTTATTTATACAAGCACTGGGTACAGTCAGAAGCGTGGGAGGGTGAGAGAATTCACCAAAGCCAGAGCAGGGAGCAGAGCAGGCAGAAGGACCGAAGTACACTGCTGAGGGGAGCAGCGGGCGGCAGGAGAGGTCTGCACGCCATGTGGGACCCTTCTCCGGTGGCCGGGGAGCAGCCGGGGATTGAACCGGCGCCGCAGAGGCTGTGGGCAGCTTCGCAACCCAGCGCTTAACCGCTGCGCCACCGGGGAGGCCCCAAACTGTATATATATTCCAAAGTGATTTATGCCACCATTTATCTACTAAGCAAACCTTTATTGAGTACCTTCTATGCACCATGAACTATAATATACTTTCAAGAGTATAACAATGAATAAGCTATAAATGTTGGCTCTTGTTGGGAAGGATAGCCAGGCAAATAGTTATCATCTGTGGAGTTTAGATGTAGCACTTCCATAAGGGAAGAAAGCCTTTCTCATAATTCTGATAACTAAATGGTTGATTAATCTGTGTAAGTATTATATTTTATACAGTATAGATGCAAATTTTCCAGTAAGATTTTCTTATGTAGATAAAGAGAGGGATAAAGCATCCTAAAGTCTAAATAAGAGTTTATTTCATCTTAGAAGTTTAGTTATATTTTCAGATAAGTAAAATTGGAATTGTGGTATCTTGAGCTCATTGCCAATTTGTTATACTTTTATAGACATTTGGGCATTTTTTTCCTTTTGACAAATTGTTTGCAGCCATTTTACTTGTGATTTACTTTGCAAACTTTTGGGGTGTATGAACATTAATCTTTAGAATTATTGCTGTTTTCAAAAAGGGAAAGCCTTTGTGTTGTTATATTATGAATGCTGCTTTAGAGTCCTGCTTATAGGTTGTTCTGTTGTTAATTCTGGTGTTCTTCTTTTTTTCCATTGGATTTAGAGCTTTTTCATTTCCTAGTTTGATTTCTTATTCTTGCTTGTGGATTTTTTTTTTTTTTTAAAGATTAAATTTCTAATTCAGGATCGAGATGAAGAGTTACCAGCTTTTTTAAAAAAAAGCATTTCACAGAGATAAAGCATCTGGTCAGTTAGTTGGCTTCGAGAACCAAAGTGACACTTTCATGCTTAAGAAATGAGGGGGAGGGCCTCCCTGGTGGTGCAAGGGGTTAAGATGCAACCTATGAAGCTATCCACAGCCACTGCAGCACGAGTTCGATCCCCGGCCAGGAAGATACCCACATTGCACAGCAGACCTCTCCTGACTCGCCCACTGCTCCCCTCAGCAGTGTTTCAGTCAATCTGCCTGTTCTGTTCCCCACTCTCTCTGGTGAGTCCTCTCACCCCCCCCCACACCTCTGGCCTTACCCCAGCTCTTATATGAATAAATAAAATCTTTAAAAAAAATATGAGGGGGGCCTCCCCTGGTGGCGCAGTGGTTAAGCGCTGGGCTGCGAGGGCTGCAAGGCTGCCTGCAGCCTCTGCGGCACCGGTTTGTTCCCCGGCCGCCGGTGAGGGTCCCACCAAAAAAAAAAAAGGGGGGGGGGGATAAGTAGAAATAAAGATCTCAAAAATGTAAGGCATTTTAAGGAAGAAACATTTTGTATTAAGGTGGCTATTGATCCATATCTAAAATTAAGTCCCATAATAAAGATGTACTATCATCTAAGTTATCAAAATTTTGTAATTTAAATAATCTGGGTAAGTTTTTTTTTTTTTTTTTTTAAGATTTATTTATACACGAACCGGGGTACAGGCCAAATATGTGGGAGGGTGAGAGAATTCACAGAGAGAGGGAACAGAACAGACAGACAACCGACGTACAATGCTCAGGGGAGCAGCGGGCATGATAGGAGAGGTCTGCTGCACCATGTGGGACCCTTGCCGGTTGGCCAGGATTGAACCGGCACTGCAGAGGCTGTGGACAGCTTCACAGCGCAGCGCTCAATTGCCTGCGCCATCAGGGGAAGCCCAATCTGGGTAAGTTTTAAGAACATTTGTTGCTACATATCTTTAAGAATTTTTAGTTTTGTGACTTTATTCCACCTGGGAGAAAATTGATTAATTTTTCTTTTGGTATTTTTCATTTGGTATTCATTTCTTTTGGTATTCAACCTTTCTTTTGTTTAGAAGATTACTTATGCCTTGAGTATATGTTCACTCGGGCTTTTATTATAGACTAAATTCAGGTCCATAAAACCTCAGTGTAACTAAGAGTTTAAATGTTGAAATTACGTATTTTTATACTATCTGGTTCTAAAGAAAATATATAATTACATTTCTGGAAAAGTATTAACACTATTGATTTGGACTCGGTGCAAATAAGATGTCATAGATTTGTAAAACACGGGGTAATACTTGGTTTGAATATCTGTTCGTTCCAAGAAAAGTAACTGTAGTTAATATGGACCTGATAGAGCCAGTTTCCAACTCTACTATTTCCTGCCTTTATGATTTTGGGCAAGATGCAAAGTCATAACTTGTTTTTTCTGTGACTCAGGTTCAGTGTTTAGAAAGTAAGGTTAGATTCAAAGGGTTTGCATATTAAATAAAGCATTGCCAACTACCACCACCATTATTTTCCTGTTTTCCCTCTGAAAGTTTATATATTACAGAACTAGACAAATTTTGAATATTAAGTATCTTTCAATCATATAAATTGTAGTAAATCTTTAAATCTAAGTTATTGATTGTAGTATGGGAGTTCAAAGTAATGTTATTTAATACTTTTAAAATAACTTAAACATTAATATTGAATGAACATGGGGGAAATAATTTATAATGTCATGTTTTCACAAGATGCTGTATGTGTTCAATAGATTAAAACTTGAAATTCTTTTCCAGTTACTTATCAGAAAGCCTGATGCTGAAAGAGAACAGAACTTGCTTGTCTCAGTTGCTAGATATAATGAAAAGTAAGTATGATGGTTCTCCTATGTTCATTTACAAGGGTTATTTTCTAAATATATATCTTGGTATAGCTTGAGATAACTTGATTGTTGTTAAGTTTAGCTTCACTGTATCATGGAGGCATATCAGATGCACTGGTGGAAAACAAATAGAGTACATGAAGTAGTTTTCACACAAACAGAGCTTAATGGAAAAGCGAAAATATAATTAGACTCAGAAAGTGTTAAGATTCAAACTAGGGGCCCTTTAAAGTGTACACGAATATATAATAGATCACTGAAAAAGATCAAAAGGAGAATGAGTTAAATATTTAAATTTGAAACTTCCTTTTTGTGGATAAATCAGCTTTAACTGGTAATACTGGTTGGTATATGCTGGTTATTTTGTTAGGTGATCGCACAGAATCCATGGTTCTCAAGTGGGGGCAGTTTTTGCAATGTCTGAAGACAGTTTTGACTGTGACAACTTGAGGTGGGGATGGTGGCAGCTACCAGCATCTAGTGGATAGAAATAAAAGTTATATAAAAATGCTAAAATTGACAAAATTGTCCTGTGGCTGAAAAATGGCTCCCCCTCAAAAATACCCACACCCTAATCCCTGGAACCTGTAAATGTTACCTTATAAGGCCAAAAGAAAAAAAAAAAAAAACAAAATGTCTTTTCAGATGTGGTAAAGAATCTTGATATGGGGCATTACTTATATTCTTCAGACTATTTGTCTAAAGGCAAGCACAAGAGTCCTTGTTGGAGAAAGGGAGAGGGAAGCATGACAAAGAGGAGGCAACATGAAGACAGTAGGAGATATAAAGATTTTGTTCTTGAAAATTGGAGTAACAGGGCCATAGGCCAGGGAATGCTTGTAGACCCCAGAAGCAGGGACAGAGTGGAATGGGATATTCGCCTAGCACTTCACAGACCGTGGCCCTCCCAACACTTTGATTTGGCCCAGTGAAACTAATTTCAGACTCTTGGGCTTCTAAATTGTGACAAAATACATTTCTGTTCTTTTAAGCCTTGCTAAATTTGTGGTAATGTTTAATACCAGCATCAAAAAATTAAGAGTCCTAACAACAAAGAATTACCCTACCCAAACTGTCAGTAATACCACTGTTGAGAAAGAGTCTTAGGGTTTGAGTTGAAACTCCACTTACCTGATTGATTAGCCAGCTGTATCCTTTTGCCCATGTCACAGTGCTCATGGCTACTAGCTTACTCTTTAAGACTGAAAATCGTTTCCCCCTTTGAGAATGATGGGGAGTTGTGATTTATGAATCTGTAGGTCTTCAATTATACCACTAGAGGGTTCACTTCTAAAGCAAATTGTGATTTGGCATTAGTATCATGGATTTTGTAATAGTAGGTAAAGGCCTAAAAGATAATCTACTTTGCTCATTTTTCTAGCTTACTGTTTTATTACTGATTTCTTCAGTAATTTCTTTATTGTACTCTGTATTTTACTATGAAATAATAGGTCTTGATAAAATATAGAACTTTCAAGATAGGCAGGTATCTTATAATTTTTCAGAACAAAGATTTTGTTTAAGGGTACTGAGTCACAAGTATCTCAGTTACATTGAAGACATGGCCTTATTTGCATTATGAAGTCAGTAACCATCATCTATTTGGAACATGTGGCTGACTAATGAGCCTTGGATCTATGTGATCTTTTCCGTAATATTGAGATTTGTATTTTTTAAATTGTAGTTGGATAACATAAACAGATCAGGTAGAGGATGTTTCTGCAGTTTCTAAACCTATTGGTAATAGTGGTTTGCTTTTAGCCTAAAGAGGAAAGGTTTTCATTATGTAGGTTCTTCTGCATTTGTTATGAAGCAAAGAATCATCAACACTTTTTCCTAAGCATCCTCCCTTTATTATATGTTCTGTAATAATGGTTTCCTTTGTAAACAAGAAGTACACTCTTGGGCCATCAACTGTAGGACAGAATATTATGGATACATTTAGTGGCAAGGAACAAATTTACTAAATCATATAGGGATTATTACAAAGGCTTAACACTAAGCAAGAGTGACCTTGATGGGATTTGAAAGAAAAAAAAATACTGAATTTTGAGAGCCTGCTCTCTTAATGTCAGACATCATATGGTCTAAGCAGCTGACAGCTGTAACTGTATTAGACTCTAATATAGAACAATGAAATCCTGGTAATAATCACATTTTAAGAATCTATTTACTGTTGTTCCTATAAGTAGACGGGAAAATATTATTCAGCTACTAATGGCAACAGTGCTTTTTTGTTACCTACTTTAAATCCTTTTTAGAGCCTTCCTGGTGGCATAGGGATTAAGTCTCAGCGCTACCATGCTACCACCTCTGTGGCCTGATTTGATCCTTTTGTTTAATCTCCATAGACATGAGAAACTTGGTTAAAAAGTATGAGCCTCCCAGATCTGAAGAAGTTGCTGTTCTGAAACAGAAGTTGGAGAGATGTCACTCTGCAGACCTTGCACTCAATGTAATTACGTAAGTAGATCTGACACTGTTATTCAAGAATAGATATAATTTTTTCCCATCCAGCCAGTCCCTAAATCATTTTCATCTGTGAAAAACTGACTACCCATTAAATCAGATTTTTTTTTATTGAGTGGACATTTTTAACAGGCTTAAACATGAGGTAATAGTTTGCCTTTCATGGTTTAGTTCTGTTCCTCCTGTGATTAATGTATTCTTTGGCTTACAGGCCTTGTCATACTCTACTACTCATGGGATCCTCTGGGGCAGCCTTCATAGGGAATCCCTGAATTTCTCCTTGGCCTTTTTACTTTTGGGTTCTTAACAGGTCTGACATCTCATCTGAAGACCAAATATATACTGTTCCATTCCACACTTGTTTATTAGTGAGGAAATTTGGTATATTTTCTTTCAGTGGTAAACTTTTACATTAAAAGTTGGATTCAGTAGAAAAATATGCTTTTAGAGCTCTTTTTGTAGCCATAAGGAATACCTATAATATCTTTGTGATTTCTAGGCTGAAATGTAGACATCCCCATGTTTAGACTCTATGCCTTACAAATTGATCTACTACTGAAAACTAACATTTTAAGAGTTCTAAGTGGTTAGGGATCTGGGAAGATAATAGGAATGGTGAAATTTTTTTTTATTTTTTTAAAGATTTATACAAGAACCGGGGTAGAGGCCAGATGCATGGAAGGGTGAGAGGATTCACCAGAGACAGAGTGGGGAACAGAACAGGCAGACTGACGAAATAACACTGCTGAGGGGAGCAGTGGGCGTGACAGGAGAGGTCTGCCGCGCCATGTGGGACCCTCGCTGGCCAGCAGGGATTGAACCAGCACTGCAGAGGCTGTGGACAGCTTCACAGTGCTGCGCTCAACCGCTTGCGCCACCAGGGGAATCCCATGGTGAAACTTTTCTATGGAGTCAAAAGTTCTCTTTTCACAATTTAGTGGGAATTAGCTACATCTTATAGTTAAGATATATTTGAGAGGTTTTTGATTTCTATAAAATTAATATATGCTGCTAGATAATGTATGAGAAGCAAGAACAATACACGAAGGCCTTCAGATCAGACATACATGACACATTCCTTAGGCCTTTGCAGTAGAATACCCAAGGACCTATGAAGTGTGCAAAGTATAGCTTAGTCTAGGACTTTAAATTGGCAGATTTGACTCCTGGGCTTCAGAGGTATCAGGTTTAAAGAAGTGATCATAGAGAGTAAAGAAATGTGGACTTTAATGAATACAAGTATTACAGCCTGACTTAATGGGTGCTTCATAATTTTCATTTTAAGTACTCAGATATCAGAATAAATTCCTATATATTACTATTTTTTACCTATTTACTCTGATCATTGAATTTTTATTTTTTGCTAATATCATACTTTTTATAGTGTTCTGATACTTGGGAGGTACACATATTCATTCCTTTTCAGATTCTTTTTGATATTTATACATGATCTTTCCCAGATCAGAGTTAGAGTTGACAAGTTAAAATTTTGGTTAAGGTTTTAATTAGAAATTCATTGTACTTAAAGATTAATCTGAAAAATGTTAATTATCCTATCCATAACTTGTATCTTTCCACTTGTCCATTCTTTGTTCTTCAGATGTATTTTGTATTGCATTGCTTATTTTATAATTTATGTTATCAATATTAGATTGCTTTTATATATATATACATACACACATATACTGATGGTTGCTTAACTACAGGAAGAAGAGGAAAGGCTATGAAGACGACGATTATGTCTCAAAGAAATCGAAACATGAGGAGGTATGTGCTCCAAAGGTAAATTTTAAGTTGTTTTTGTATAATGTTAAGATTTTGTTTCACTAGATGAACTAAGTAAAACAAAAGTAAACTTTTATACAATCAAAAGAACAGGATTTCAAGATGGGAAGGAGAATGATGGGTGAATAAATTGGGGGAAAGTTTGATGATGATATAATGGACAGAACTGGACTTTGGGTGGTGACCTTAATATAACAGACATATAGCATGCAAGCATTATAGAGAAGTAGGGTTTGAAGCCTTCATTTTTTTTGTATGACCTTTATGTACAATGTACTAAAGTCTTAGGATTCTTCCCATTTCTGACTCCGCCGTTTTTGAAGCAGTATAATAGTTACTTGATGAATCCTTCCTATCATCGTAGAAGGCACAGGGTTACACATACCTGCTAAACTTTTGCTGTTTGTTTATTCTCCAAGGATTGTTGTTTTACCCTTTAAAAGAAAATCTTATCTGGCAAGTCAGATATAAAGGAATTAGGTAAAAATAACTTTTATTCCTCATGGGAATAGTCTGGTGAGACCATGCCATGTTACTCATTAATAAACTACTAGAAATTTTTCTCATTTATTTAGCTTCTGTAATCAGTATAGTAAAACATTTTCCTAAAGGAAGGCAAGAACATAAGCAATACTGATTATGCTTCAGTATAATGTTATACTTATTTTCTTTCCTCCTCAGGAAGAATGGACTGACGATGACCTGGTAGATTCTCTCTAACTATTTGAAATTGATTTGTCAATACTAACTAAACAGCAGAAGGGAGAAGCATAACTGGCATTTAACTATTTAAAAAGAAATATGAAAGCATCAAGTTAAACTTTTCTATTTAAAGTATTTTCCTTTGAAAGCATTACATGAAATAAAGCATCTTCAAGGGAGCCAGAATGGCACCTGGTTTGTAAAGCTTATCCACAATGACTAATACCAAATTAGCCTCTATAGTAAATAATTTTAATTATAATTTATTTACATTATTTTAAGGAAAATGCAGTAAGCAAACGTACCCGTTTTGAAAAAAAGACTTCACAAAAAATCTTATTCCTTAGCTTATTTAAAGCTGTTTTTTACCCTATAGAAAGTGTTTATAAAATGGCTTCTCAAATGCCAATAATTTTGTATGTTGCTACTGAAGTCTACAAAATGTACCTCAGCTATTAGATGGTACTCAGAGCATTATTATCTGAAAACATTTCCATATGGGTTTTTTTTTTAAATAATCAAATGTGCAGTCAAGATAAAAATTTAAAATTTTCTATTTAATAAACTTCTTTCAACATATTTAGTCTGAAATACTGCTAGTAACTATAATTCCAATTTATATGGCTTTAAATAAATATATGTAATTTTGCTGCTACTTTCTTACCTGTACACACCCTGAGATTGTTATCTTGACTACATATCTAGGCCCTATTTGTGAAAAATCGCTATTCAGTGGGAAATGCCCATGGTTCTTAAGTTTCATCTTCTCCTGGGGACCCTGCTCTAGTACTAAATTACAGCTGCCACCAGAGGAGGAAGAAAGTGATGAAATTAAGTGCTTAGCTGTATTTAGAGAGAAGTAGCCAATTATGCAAGATAACCCTTGGTTTTATTTTAACTTAACCCTTGTGAATACTTCACAAAAATACACATACAGAAGCAAATAAAACTATACAAACTAAATATCCAGCAGATACACACAAGTAGTCAGAAGTTCAAGGATGGAGAGCTGTTAAAGTGGCTGATATTTGTATAATCAAAAAAATCAAGTTGGAATTAATACTTTTGACAAAAGCATTCTAGGATTTTTTTTTTTTTACCAACTTTTGTTAAATCTATAAAATGGTGGAATGGGGTAACATGCATTGACCAGTACAAAGACCAATAATATTTATTGAACTCAAACTATTTACCGTGTAAACATTTAACAAAAGTATTATGAGCTCTAAATACAGTCTTTGACAATTCCAACAAAATAAGTGGTATGTTTAAAAAATAAAGCTGATGAGCAATAGACCCATTCTATATATTTTCTTTGAACAGTTCCAGCAAGATTGAAATAGCAGTATTTTAAAAAAGTATACAGCAAAAAGATTGTTCCTATTATAATGGCAAACTCTGGAAACTGTAAATACAAATAAAGTCATTGAACAGTCATACGGTCATGTTCCTAATCAGGAAGAGTTACAGTAAGAACAGTCTGCAATCCAGTTATATACTCAGTTGTCAACAGAATACTTTTTCTTCTCAGCTGATTTCATACTTCTTTTTCCAAGAGACACAAAAACTTTGGCAATTGGATGTATTTAAAATATATTTTCAAAGTTCAAGATACAGTCATAGCATTTTGTTTTGTGAGAGGTGATCAGTACACCAAGGCTCAGAGGTTGGTAAAGATTGATTCCATATGTGGAAAAAGTGCAAATATCCTGCACAGATAGCTTACAAAGCTGCTGGCACCATTCACCAGCAGAATCTGGGGTTTTGTTTGCATAGCTCACACATCACTGGAATGTGGAAAGGTGTGCTATTTTTTGGCAAGAGCAAAGGAGACAGTATACTGATGTGATTACCATGTTGGGCATGCTGAATCCATGCAGAATACTTGGGCGAAGGCTGCTACCTGACATCATTGGTTTTTGTATACTGGTTTTGTTTTTGTTGAAGCAGTTCTGTTATAGCCAGAAGCTTTTTCAGTACATGCTAGACAAGGAAAAATTGAAAGTTTGTCAAAAATTGGAGGAATGGAAACGGCAATTGGATAAAAAGCCCTATCAACTTCAGAACATATTCATTCAACACATAAAACTCACTTCTTTTATTCAATGTCATAATGTTTTGGTCAAGACGGAATTTTTATATGCTGAAGTGAACAGAAATTTATTTTCATTCTCCTGTCTATTTGGGATGGAACATCTTGCCAGAAGACAGATTTATTGTTGTAAATGACACCTGTATATGTCTTAAGCCCTCTTAGACAGTGTACGGACAACAGCTTGCAGCATTAAGGGATCATCAAAGAAATTCTAACTGCGCTGGACCTAAAATCAAACAGTTCCTTTACCTTTCTTTAAAAGTCTTCATTCACTGGGCCAATTCTTCAGTAAGAATTTTATTTTTAATTTAATATCAAGGGCATGTTATAAGTAGATGCAGCTCCAGTGTACTGACTAGACATACATGCCATGGGCTCATCACACACAGTCTCCAATAGGTTTCTAATGTGATTGGAATCTTAGTGAACCAGGTTATAAAGTTGCCCAAATTTGAAAATTTCAGAATCTCAGGTTGAACAGAACTCAGAATCACCAAACTCAATGCTTTTATCTCTTCCACAAGGTCCTTGCCTAACGGTTAGCCAGTGCACTGACAATGCTTAGGGGATGCTTATTAGAAATGACAGTTTCCAAGGCCACACGCCAGCATCTCCTTGAAATATTTTTATCAAACTTCTCAAATAATTTTCATGTCTTTCACAGTTTACAGATAATTTATCATGTATGTGCTAGAAAAAGCCACATTACTATTAGTTCACTCAAATGTATATGAATATCACCACTTTTCAGTGGACAATTATTGAGACCCAAAAGCAACGCAACAATCAACATTTACTAGCAAAGGAAATACATGATAGTCCTATTCTTGTCTGAGATCTTTTTGGAATATGACTTTGGGTCTTAAAAATTCAACAGAACTGATAAAATGGTACCCATAATTCAGCTACTTATTGCCATCTCAAGACCCTTAAGCTGGCATGCTAATGAAACATCTTTGTAATGGATGTAGGCAAAAACCTACCTGCTGTGCACCACGCTCATTACTGAGTGTTCGCAGTTCATCTGAATGGGCCACGCAAATTTCATGCAATGCTGCTAAATCACGGGACAGGTCAGTTCTAGAATGCTCTGTAGTGTCTGGAAGTTCAGGTACATTCTTTAAGAAAAATCATAAAATTTGCACTTAGAAACACAAGCCTTTACAGTCTCTTTTGAAAAAAATTCTGTTTATAGTAGATATAATTTTTAGCATTCAAGTATTAATTTAAAATTATAAAGCTATTGTCCAAATTAAACAGCATACATAAGAGCTCCATTATCAAAGTGTGATGAGAACCTGGCCTATAGTTTACCTGAGGGTGCCCAAAATACCTGCTACTACATGGAAAACAGTTAATTACAGTATCTTTTTTTTTTAAGATTTTTTTTTATTTATTTATACAAGAACCGGGGTACAGGCCAGATGCGCGGAAGGGTAAGAGGATTCACCAGAGAGCAGGGAACAGAACAGGCAGACTGACAAAATACACTGCTGAGGGGAGCAGTGAGCGAGACAGGAGAGGTCTGCTGCGCTATGTGGGACCCTCGCTGGCCGGGATCAAACCAGCGCTGCAGAGGCTGCGGACAGCTTCACAGCTCTGCACTCAACCACCTGCGCCACCAGGGGAGGCCCTTAATTACAGTATCTTTAATAAGGTTCAGAAAGTCACCATGAAAAGCTGAAAGTACTCTATTAGCATTAATAAAGCCTCACAATAAAATTTAACATTTGGTTTTTTAATAAATCCATCTCCCTCCCTAGTGGTAACAATATTTGGTATGTTTCTAAAAAAGTACAATACACTTAGGTTTTTTATAAATAAAAATTTAGAAAACTATTCATTAGCTGATTCAGTTATACATTTATTTGTTAATACAGGTAAAGGGGTAGGAGAATATGAGAACACTAGAAGAATATTAGAATATTTTAATTCTAAGTAGCTTGAGGCTAGGTTATGTGACAGAGCTGATAAACAGAAAAGGCTGGACTGCAAACATTTTGGATTATGGAAGAAAAATGGAGTCCCAACCATAAATCTAAAAACCCAGAAAGATAAAACCTGCTAGCCTAAATACTGGGGAAATTGTTTTCTTATAGCCCCTTAAATATTATCATAGTAAAAATGTTTTTTTCAACCACTGGCCAACTTCATTTTTTGTAGTTAGAAATAATATCTTCAAAACTTCTCAGGAGTTCACATATAAAAACATGGACATTCAGCACTTGAGCCTTTATTTTTCAACTTCATTATAAACATGGAGATATGCTATAATTACTTAACACTAGTTTTTATACCTAAGGTTGCAAACTAGGGTCCCAGAGGCGGTCCTGAGTAGTTTGACTTTACTAAGAAATCCAGTGTCTTACAAATTACTTTTAAAAACCTTATCACCAATTTATTGAAGTCCCAAATAAGAAATATAGGTAATCCCATTAAAATAAATATAACACCAAATCCATGTATTTTAGTGCAAGAAAAGCCATAAGAATGCTCATTCTCCAGTTCATATATACTCATTTAACCTAATCAGAACTGTAGGTAAAAAAGGTTATTCACAATCCCAAAGGACAGTGACAGAATGTCACAGGTGTTAAGATGGAACAGTTAAGAGGATGATGAAAAACAACCCAGAAACTAAAAATTGAAACAGGGAATCAAAAGCCAACGTAGAGTGTATGCCGGCTTCAAACCTTTTAGTGTAAGAATCAATGGTTAAAACCATAATCAAATGAAATAATTTGTCTGGAAAGGTAGACAAAAATAAACAGCTATTGGGTTTTTTTTTAAGTTCTATATAGAAAATCTGAAAGTATGGATTAAATGAGTTAACGCTCAGCTATACTATTGTTCTCATAGTTCTTGAAAAATAATATACATACCCCAAGTTCATCTAAAAACATGATCATACGATGTTTGTTACTTTTGATGAATGGATTTACACCTTCCATATAGGGTTCCTAAAAATATAAAAACTTTAGCTTAGTACATGCATTAAAACCAAACATTGTCTGATCTACAACAAAACCATACATATAAGCAAGATTTCTTAATAAGCCTAACTATGTCCATCAGCAGTATGTGTTCACAAGAAGTTAATCATCCAGTGACAGTACTGTTGTTCAAATACAAGCTAATAGCTGTATTTTTTTCATAAAGTAGAAATTCTAGATGGAAACAAATCAGAACACAAAATCTAACAGACACAAGTTGCTTATATGTAATATATAATTCATTCATAAAAATTACTGAGAGACTTATTTACCGAGCACCAAGACAAACAAGGTTAAAATTTAGCAGAGAATGTAGAATTTGTAATGCTGGTAAGGACTACAATAAAAAAATTCAAAAGCTAAGTCATACATATAAGTTACTCTTCATACTAAAATCACATCTACTGAAAAATATGTTGTAAAACAGCAAAGTATTAATGCAAGCTCTATTAAAATCAGTAAGATCCAAATAAGGACAGCAACAGTCAATTACAAAGAAATGATCATGAAAAATCATTAGTCTCTCTGAAAATAATGAAATACAAATAATATGCTGGTAGCAAGAAGTCTTTTTATATATATAAAGATTTATTTATTTATACAAGTACTGGGTACAGTCAGAATTGCAGGAGGGTGAGAGGATTCAACAGAGCCAGAGCAGGGAACAGAGCAGGCAGACTGATGAGGTACAGTACTGAGGGGAGCAGCAAGGCGGCAGGAGAGGTCTGTGTGCCATGTGGGACCCTCGCCCGGTGGCAGGGGATCAAACTGGCGCTGCAGAGGCTGCGGGCAGCTTCGCAACCCAGCGCTCAACTGCTGTGCCACTGGGGAGGCCCAAGAAGTCTTTTTTTTTTTTAAATATTCTGTGCCACTTTTACTCCAAAATTTATTAAGGAAACAAGTTTCAAAGGAAATATATATAAGAACACTTACATAACTACTATTTTGTGACACTGATAAATTAGAAACCATCTGAGGACTACATAACATTTACAAAAATGGCATACTATATCATTAAGAAAACAGCTGTGTATTTTCAGTTATGGCAAGAAATTTGCTACATATTAACAAAAGTAAATGATAGAATATCCTACTAGAATATTAAAATCATTGTTCTTTGATTGTGGGATCACCTATGGACATTTAAAAAAGTCATCTGCGTTTTAATACTTATGCTGGATGTTTATTGTGAAATTATTATAAAATAGATTGGAATACATTTCAAAGTGTTTACTGGTGGAACTTAAGCATAATAGAAACTGAAATAACAGTTCTCCATAAACGGTAAATGGTGATTTTAAAAATTCCACTATTTACATGTAAAATTGAAATAGAACTTTTAAAAAATGTGAACACACCAACAAAAATATAAATTTTCCTTACACGGTATTAAATGTTGAAAATTTATTTACACTATTTTTATAGTTTTATCATGTCAAAGCTTCACTCCTAAATAACATTTTAAAGTACCAAAATGTTTTTACCTTAGCTCCAAATTCCACAAGATTTGCTAAGTTCTGCACAGACTTAGCCACTAATATCAGTGTTCTTGCAGCAATAGGAGATGGGGAATCTATAAAAAAAAATTGGACACAGCTAATCATAACAACTACAAAGGCAATTCCAGGTAAATCTTTATATTTAGTAATATAGGTGTTTCTTTACTGTCAGAAACACTAACATTCTTCCATTCAGATGAATTCAATGTATTTTGGAATGTATGACCTATATAATTCAAAAGAACTTGCATCAAGGGGTGGGGGGGGAATGGTGAATACATTTGTCAGCATTCTAGTTTTCTGAAGAGGGTACACACAAGACCTAGCAATTTCCAACTGGCTGATAATCTTGTAAAATACCCACAAAGCTTTACTTTACTGCTACAGAGACTGACTCCACACACCCTCAGAGACAATCCACAAAGCTAATGTCAACACTCAGTCTAACAATTTGCAATTCATTTTCCCCAATCTCTAATAACAGCAAATAATTCACTTTAAAAAGCTTAATAAAAAAAGTTTGAGACCTCTGCTTTATCACGAGGAGAAAAAACATGCAATTTAATAAGCCATTTAAAATATTTAAAAAATTAGGAGACATTTCCTTGTAAACACCCTAAAATTATTTAAAAGTAATTATTTAAAAGTAAAAACTTACACATTATAGTACACCTTTTTTTAATTTTAAACTGCTAAACTAGACACCTTTTTTTAACTTTGAACTGCTAAACTACACCTAGTAATGCCCAGTGAATGGTTCAGAGCCAACATTCAGATAAACATATCTCCCTTAAAGAATTTTAGACTCTCAATACTTAGTAGACCCATAAATATGACCATTTTAAATAATAATGGAAGACAGTTAGAGATCTCATGGCTATATAAAATTAAAATATTCCAAGATATTTTTAGTACAACTTTGAGCTTCAAGTTAAAAGTGGTTCAGATTTCTACTTTAATAGCGGATCATTACATTCCCAGTCACAAATAACACTCTTACTCTTTTCTTTGAAAGAAACCTACAACATCCAAAAGTCATTCCATCATGGATGTTATGGGTAATAAGCAAACCAAGTCTAGTTTACTGGAGTTTAAAGTGGCTGATTAACACATTACTGACAACAAGACCACTAAAGGACCACTTTCATCATCTTCACAAAGCATTATTGTAGTTGTAGCTTTCATTTTAATTTGATCTTAAAATGCAGCTTACAATGGTAGGGACATTTTAGCATGTGTTGAAAGAACACAGAAAGCTTTTTCACAAACTGAAATGCCAAGTTGCAAACTGGAAAAAGTTATTTGGTACAAAGAATTTGAGACACAAGGATGGGAAAAAAAATAATGTATATCTAATGTCATCAGAGGTTCAGATATTAGATTGAAAAGGTAAGAAGTAAAAGGAAGGAAGAGGGAAAAGTAAGGGTCTTTGGAGTATTTTATACCAAGTCATACAATTAGAGAATTAAAATAATTAGATTTAAAAGAAAAAAATGAGTATCCTTACTAAATACTATGAAACTTTTTTTTCAGTCTCAAAATTTACAGAAGCTGATTACCTGAGATGATATTAAACATCCGTGGATTCAGAATGGCAGGACAGATAAGTCGAAGAAAAACAAAACCACTGAGAATGGGAGGAAAAATTTTTTTTAAGAAAAACACATATCTTATTAAAGTAATAAACAGTTTTAATATTAAAACCATGAACTTTGAACTAATTTAAGGAAGACCAAATATATAGCTTTAAGATAAGCTAAGGTAACTTTAAGGATGTATGTAATTCCTTCTTAAACATATTTATTTTTCCCCAGCTTGGAATTTTAAATTTATTTTGGGAAGATTTAAGTTGTATTGATAGCATTTACTTTCTTGGCTACTATTTATTTATTCTAGGCAAGTAGTAAATTTCATACTTTGGGGAAGCAGTGTATTTTGAATCAGTAAGAATTTCTGAAATAGCATAGGAGTGCCAATAACCTTTTGTACAGATACACGGTCCTATAAGATCCTAAAACGATTGTTCTCTCACTTCTCTTTTGTCTTTTAAATAGAACAGCCCAGGAAAGTCTGTTATAAATCCAGTTAGTTTGAACTTTTCATATATCTATATAAAACCAGGAATTTACTGTGTTTGAGAAAAAGGGATTTCTTGATAGATCAAAATGTATACAATAGAATGCTGAAAAGCTTTTTGGCAATAAACTCTTTCCGAAGTTTAAAAAAGTTCTCCAATTACAAAATAATATTAATAAAAATAAAATTCTATAAAAGCACATGGTTTAATAACAGTTGTCGTATATAGTTTTACCTATTCTTCTTACTCTGGGAACAATGCAGTATGTAAAACTATAAGCTTATATAACTACTCCTACTCTGTCTCTCAGTTGCTGGTAGAGAGTATACGTTGTCATGTAGACCATTCTCTTTAATTTCTTCTTAAGAGGAATACACACAGAAAACTGACCACCTGCTTCTTGTAAAAAGAAGTATTATCCCCAAAACTGATGATAAAATGTCTTCTAGATATTAAAATATTTGCGCTGTCTCTATTCTTTTTGATTGACTCATCAGTCTTCCCAGATTTATTTTCCAATATACACCAATTTTTCTAATTTTGGAATTCTTATAAAATATGTAACTTCTCAGACAGCATTTATTACAATTATATACATCATGTCTTAAATTTTATTTTTTAATTTATGAAGACTTGCATAATTTTTGATAAAAACATTTGATACTTAAATATGTCTTAAATATGAAATCTAATCTGGCAACATTAAACCATAAAACGATTTTAGTGTATAAATCTTCCTGTGAGACTTAAAAGATGATTTTAAATTTAAGAAAGAGGTAGATTCACATATATTTAAAAGCATACTAGAGACAGGAATCATCACTGAAGGCACAAATGCCCCTTAAGACAGCCTATAATGTGAAATAAACCACAAAGCAGAATTTCTTGCTGTATGCTTACCAATTGCACTTGTCTGAAACTTACAGTTTACAGTTTAAATTTTATCACACACATAACTTTGCTGAAACATCATAAGCTTTTCTTTTATATTCCTTTCATTTGCTATAAAGCCAAGAAATACAGAATCTATGATTCTTAAATATTAGGTCATATCGTTAACAAGAGAATTTATCTGTACAAAATTTAGATGGGGTAGTACTAACCCACATTTTCAAAACTAAGTATATGATACAGGTGTCTTTAGTGGGCAGCAAATTTTTTTAGGTCTATAACATGACTAGAAGTATATAGTCCACATATAATTAGACTGCCATATTCTCTGGTGCTTTTGTAATAAACTGCCAGTTTCCTTCAATGGAGTGGTGTATGCTTAACAAAAGCCTGTAGGCAGTTTAACCTCTACACAACTGTTTCTTCATTGGAAAAGTAAGTTAAAGTCATGGTAATACAGTCCCCTTGGATAAGCTACAGAATTCTATGACTTGCCAACATAATTACTGTTATACAACAAGCTCACTAAAACAGACAAAATTAGAGGCCCTGACTGGAGATCAGCCCAGAGTTAAAGATTATGTTACAAATCAATTAACAGCTAAACTATTCAACAATTACTGATCTTCCCTTTTAGCACAGACCAAATCAATTTCTCTTTCCTCTCCTTCTCCTCTTTCTATATTTATAAATATGTATTTATATGTGTACAAAGATTATATGAAGTTATGTGTAGATTTGATTGGTTATGTAACTTTTAACAACATTATAAAAGATTTAAAAAACCCCAAACAGTTAATTGACATAAATGAAATATAAAAGGTAGCTAAGTATCTCATGGTAACTTCCATAAAACATAGAAAGTTAAAATTAGAAGCCATCTGAACTCAGAACATATTCAGCAGGACTATGACATAAAAGGAAAAGGTTTTGAACTGTATATACTGTATACTGTTATTCTGCAAATTTTCAGTCATACATTTGATATACATGAGATATACAATGATGTAATAAAAGAATTGGTGAACCTTACCTAACTACTCTTGTTCTCATGGTGGTGTTTGTTGGCCACTTGTGCTGAACAGATTTCTGTAAACACCCATATATATACCTCAGTGTCCTGCCAAAGTAAGACAATCATCTCAATACAGAAAATAAAGTATAAAAAATTATCTCATTGCATCCCAAAGCTTAATTTACTAAATACACCACATTTTAATGCAATCGTCCTTTCTCCAAAATATTACTTAGCTAAATAAAAGCATACACACATTTAGCAAAGGATAAAGGAAAACTTTAATTAGCAATTCACTTAATTATTTACATCTACTCTGGAAGATATCTTACCATATATATTAGACTACTTCTCTACTAATGTTAAGTATGAAAGAAGTATTAGAATGAGGACACAGAGGAACTAATGAGTACAGATTCTGGGAGCAAATTTCGACTTAAGTTAAAATAACTTCTACCACTGGAGGGAATAAGGAAATACCAAGTAATTATCTGGTAGACATTTTGACAAGATACTCAAGTACAGGCTAGATACATGTGTCTTTTATGATTTTCTCATATCTGAGACTTCAAGCCTCTATTCATTCTCCAAGTAAAATATAAACAAGACACACTGGTCTATATAAAAAGTATGACTTATTTTAATGTAAATATTTCATTCACTCTGGTTTCCTCAAGTTATCTTTAAACATAATTCATCTTGTAAATTAAAAACCCTAACTTTGTCAGAGTATAATAACATCAGGACAGTGGAAAAACTTATACATGTTTTACAAATACAAATTTTTCAAAATGCAGATAATTTCTTGTTAATTAAAATTTCACCACTTACGGTGGAAGTATTTCTGAAGCCATGAATATTTTCTCCACAAGCTCTGAAAGTATGTTCAATAGGTGTGCTAAATTAGTGTTCACATCTTCATTTTTTTCTAACTTTGATGGACTTAACTAAGAGAAGGAATAAATTAATATAAATGCATCTTGGTAATGATCGAGATAAGTAAACAGTTGTTTTCCAAGGTTCTCTATTTTTCCATTTTTCACTAAGTATTTTGGGGGTCAGGGGAAGGATAAAGGGGAATTTTTGAGTAGTTTGCTCTAGGAAACTCCTTTTGATAGCTTTACTATTCATTGCCAGTTAACTCACAGTTGAAGAACAAGTAGTGATTATTCAATTATTTTCATTTGCTTTGGGATTAATACGAGTATGAACATTTTCTTCTACTCATTTATCACACTTCACCACAGATTTTTATAGGCACACAAAAGTGGATCACCTGTATTTATATTATAGTATTTTCAACTAGAAACAAAATACCAGCTTTAGTAGCGACATTCTCACAAATACACTGGCATTTAAAAGGGAAGAAAGATCACCATACTATTGCAGTAAGTTCTATTTATTTAAGGGGGGAAATTATTAAATACAAAAATGTTTCTGAATGAGAGTAAGCCTTAATTAAGGTCTAATAAAATAACAAATGCCTTAAGTATACTCATGAACCTCTCTCAAAACTTCCAGTCATCCTTGAATTGAAATTAGGGGCCTGGCCTAGAATCACTGGAGTAGATCTGTCTATAGAAATCTACATTCCCCAGCTGGGATCCAACATCCCAGCTGCTGACTTGCTGCATTACTGTATCATCCTTTACAGGTAGGCCAACTATGGTGTTAGCCTAGTTTTCAACACTGAAATCATCCATTTCTTCCTCTTGATTAGTAAAAACCAACAACTTAGTGCAGAATTAACATTAAAAAACTCTCCATGTATATTATCAAATGCAGTTCCTTACTAATTTTGCATTAGAAACTTTTTAATAGCTTCCTTCTACCTTCAAAATGAGAGAATAGCCATATAAGTGAAACTCTTTCTATCTTACTGGTTTGTTAAGAATTTACACTAAAGTCTTAATGATTACTTCTAAAAGGACGTTTTGATTTGCTTTCAAGAGGAATGTCTATACCTTTCTTTCTCCTCCTCAAAAACCTTCAAGGGAAAATCTAAATACTAAAAAGTGCCACAGAGCACTAAGCAGACAACAAGTGTCTCTAGCAAATACTTTTATCTTTAGTACAGCAGGAGAAATGATACTCTGATTACTTTCTCATACAATTTGAGGTTTTTAACACAAAAATAAAGTATATCTTTTTTAAGTGTTTTGCAAAACATTTTTCTAAATGTATGGAATACTAGAGACTAATATAATTTTCTTAAAATGTAATTTAGCTATAAATTATTATACAATAAAATATGCACTTTGATGAAGTAACATTTAATTCTACTGCTAAAGTTACATTTAATTCTTACCTCACAAGACTGCTTGCTTTCCATTATCTTTAAAATAGAGTCTTTCAAAGCATGATGAACAAATTGTGTAGCAGTGGCTTTCATATACTGCTCCATCAAGGTGCTTGCAAGTGTTGTAGCTCGAAATAGGGTAGTGGCTTCATCTGCACAGATATTTATATTAAAAGATTATCTGTAAAGGATTGTACTTAAGTGAACCAAATTGGAAATTAAATTCATTTAATTCATTTCTCTCTCAACCATTTTCCTCACACCCACTTAAATGTGCTCATCTGCATGTAGTACTGAAATGTTTATTATATGATGAATAATACATCTGTAATAATAGGAGAGGGCATTAACACAAATATGATCGGATGAATGGTTATATGACTTGTCCAAGTACAAAGAGCAAGTCAGTGATAAAACTAAAGTCAGAATTCAGCTTTGTTGTTCACTACTCCATGTTTTTAAAAATGAGGTAATTTCCAAATAAGAACATGACATACAATATCAGTATAAATCAGTTTAAAATACCAGGATAAAACAGTTTAGGATTTTATAGTATGTTTTAGGTCAGTAAACAATTATTTCCCAAAAAAGACAATCTTAGCATACTGCCACTTTCTCTTTAATGTATATACTGTACATTTTCTGTGATAAAGAGATAATAATTCTAGATTTTATAGCTTATTTGGGAAACCCAGAAGCAAGCACTGTTTTTGAATCAAATTGCTGAGACTAGTTTATTCAGACAAAGCTGTGTCCAGCTCTATTTCCTGGGAACTACGTACTATAGAAGCTAGAAATAAAATGAAGCCGACATCCAACTTCTACACAATGAATTAAAAAGTGAAAATAAACAAGAGAACATGGTAAGTATGCCAAACTATTCTTAATAATCAGGCATTATGAGCCACTGATGCATACATAGTGGTTTCTAATACTAACTTACCTTAACAAAATAATTAGCTGGCTGAAGAAACAAAACTGATTTTCCAAACGCCAATTTTTAATGAAGGAAAACAAAATAACTTACAAGATGATTTAAAGGTTTTGTACATTCTAATAGTCCATTTACACTTGATACATACAATCTGGTTATTAGCCCAATTTTTAGAAGTACCACTCTAACTGATCCATACTATACCTTCCATGCTTATTTCTCTGTCATTTAGTGTACATAACAACAATGATTCAAGCTTTTCATGAAGAAAAATCTTCAGTAGGATGCTAGCCAGTAGTGTTCGGTCCTGTCCACAAACATGTGATAAAGCATAGACGACATGAAGCTCCTTTTGCAGTATAAGCTAAACAGGAGATCAAGAAAGAAAGTGTTCAAAGTACACAGCAGTAAACATTCTCGGTAAAATTAACAGGAAATATATTCTTTATATGTTCTTATATCTGGACTTACGGTCTATTGAATATTTATTAAAAGCAATGAGTTTGTAGCCTACATACCTATAGTCTCTTTAGATTAAAATCATACCATTGCAAGGATTTTCAACTTTCTCTGTCAGTGTGCTACTAAGCTGTGGAATTACTATATTTAACATAATGGATCTTTTATTTAATATTTTCATTAATGCCATCAAAAGTGGTTAGACTGGTAAATGACTTAATACCTCTTTAAATTCACTGTACTCTTCTTCTGGCATGATTTTTTCCATAGAATATCGTGCTCGAACACGTAGAGATCCTGGTTCAATACCTTTTAATGGTATATGGGAGCTGAGCAGAAACCATTCATCTGTGGCATGCCCTTTCTGTAACCGGCTCAACTGGCAGCGCATAAATACTATGATAGAAAAACATCAAATGATCACTGTCTAAAGATGACACTATCATTAGTCACACCAGTAAATTTTCCCAACATCCATGTACAGTACAGTGTTGAGTGTTTTATTAAGTTTTGGTGATATCACAAAAGCAACACTTATTTCATTTAGTGAATATGTACTATTTGTGAGATTCTGATAGGCAGGGATTGGTAGACATGATTAAGGTATGGTCTCTCACTTGCATGGAGATCACAGTTTAGCCAAGAAGGCTAAATTTAGCCAAGAAATCACAAGTTAGCTAAGAAATCAGTTATGATATGGTATCATATGCTGTAACAGTAGTTAATGCTACTGGAATACAGAGAAATAATATCTAACTCAGCTTCCAAACATGTAACCCTTAAGCTGACTTGTAACACGATCTGTAGGTATAGCTAACTAGAAAGATATAGGAGAAGACCAAAAAGAAAGTATGGTGGGTGCTTTTAAAATTAATGGGTAATTTAAAAGATATACAAAAGACAGTATGGGTGGCGAGGAGGATATCAAAATGATTATACAGTGAGGACAAGTGGGGAAAGAGTAATTAGGAAAGGGCCTTTCTGTGTCATTACCAGGGGTTTGGATTTTCTTAAAAGTAACAGGGAACCACTAAACAATGTTAAGCACATAGTAGTTATAAACATTTTATAGGAAAATACTCAGGTTTTGATCTATCTGTTAAAATATCACTTCTTTTACCTAGCCGGGCTTTAAACAAGTATTCATAATTCACGCTATTGTGAACTGCTAAATTTTACTTTTTTTTTTTTAACATGCTGGAAAAGGTGAGCTGCCAAGAAAAATTGGGAGGGTTCATTTACTATAAGTGACAAGCATATTCTAGCTTAAAGAAAAAAAAATGTTATACTAGTATCCCTTCTTTACTTTTAAGCAAAAAGAAAAATCCTAAAAAGTAGTAAAGAAGGAAGAGAGGAAACACCACAGAAAGATGACAATGCTTACATTTTCTTACTCTTCCTGTTCATTGGGGAAGAAAGAGTAAATACATATACAATTTAATCTTAAATGCTTAAGTTTATAGAGTGTACAACCTAGCCATTTTTGGTCTTTTTTCTATTTCAATTATCAACAATAATTTTACAAGTACAAAAAGAAATTACACTATTTGTATTTCCATCATATTTTTTAATTTCTATTTTAAACTACATTTCATTATGAATTTTAAACATATAAAACATGCCCTTTTAGTCAAAGAAGAAATTTTTG